AATGACTGGAACAATTCACAGTAACTGGAACAATTCATATAATAACTGGAACAATACAATGACGGGAACAAGACAAAGAATGAACTGAACAATACAATGACTGGAACAATTCACAGTAACTGGAACAATTCATATAATAACTGGAACAATACAATGACGGGAACAAGACAAAGAATGAACTGAACAATACAATGACTGGAACAATTCACAGTAACTGAAAACAATTCATATAATAACTGGAACAATACAATGACGGGAACAAGACAAAGAATGAACTGAACAATACAATGACTGGAACAATTCACAGTAACTGGAACAATTCATATAATAACTGGAACAATACAATGACGGGAACAAGACAAAGAATGAACTGAACAATACAATGACTGGAACAATTCACAGTAACTGGAACAATTCATATAATAACTGGAACAATACAATGACGGGAACAAGACAAAGAATGAACTGAACAATACAATGACTGGAACAATTCACAGTAACTGAAACAATTCACATAATGACTGGAACAATTCACAGTAACTGGAACAATTCATATAATAACTGGAACAATACAATGACGGGAACAAGACAAAGAATGAACTGAACAATACAATGACTGGAACAATTCACAGTAACTGGAACAATTCATATAATAACTGGAACAATTCACAGTAACTGGAACAATTCATACAAAGACTGGAAAAATACAATGACTAACAACTCACACAGAGTGCAACAACTCACACAGAGTGCAACAACTCACACACAGAGTGCAACAACTCACACAGAGAGTGCAACAACTCACACACAGAGTGCAACAACTCACACACAGAGTGCAACAACTCACACAGAGTGCAACAACTCGCACAGAGTGCAACAACTCACACAGAGTGCAACAACTCGCACAGAGTGCAACAACTCACACAGAGTGCAACAACTCACACAGAGTGCAACAACTCACACAGAGTGCAACAACTCACACAGAGTGCAACAACTCGCACAGAGTGCAACAACTCACACAGAGTGCAACAACTCACACAGTGCAACAACTCACACAGAGAGTGCAACAACTCACACACAGAGTGCAACAACTCACACAGAGAGTGCAACAACTCACACAGAGTGCAACAGCTCACAGAGTGCAACAACTCACACAGAGTGCAACAACTCGCACAGAGTGCAACAACTCACACAGAGTGCAACAACTCGCACAGAGTGCAACAACTCACACAGAGAGTGCAACAACTCACACAGAGTGCAACAGCTCACAGAGTGCAACAATTCACACAGAGATTGCAACAATTCACACAGAGAGTGCAACAATTCACACAGAGTGCAACAATTCACACAGAGAGTGCAACAACTCACACACAGAGTGCAACAACTCACACAGAGTGCAACAACTCACACACAGTGCAACAGCTCACACAGAGAGTGCAACAGCTCACACAGAGAGTGCAACAACTCACACACAGAGTGCAACAACTCACACAGAGAGTGCAACAATTCACACAGAGAGTGCAACAACTCACACAGAGTGCAACAACTCACACACAGTGCAACAGCTCACACAGAGAGTGCAACAGCTCACACAGAGAGTGCAACAACTCACAGAGAGTGCAACAACTCACACAGAGTGAAACAACTCACACAGAGTTCAACAACTCACACAGTGCAACAACTCACACAGAGAGTGCAACAACTCACACAGAGAGTGCAACAACTCACACAGAGAGTGCAACAACTCACACACAGTGCAACAACTCACACAGAGAGTGCAACAACTCACACAGAGAGTGCAACAACTCACACAGAGAGTGCAACAACTCACACAGAGAGTGCAACAACTCACACAGAAAAGAAAAGAGTGCAACAACTCACACAGAGAGTGCAACAACTCACACAGAGTGCAACAACTCACACAGAGAGTGCAACAACTCACACAGAGAGTGCAACAACTCACACAGAGAGTGCAACAACTCACACAGTGCAACAACTCACACAGAGTGCAACAACTCACACAGAGTGCAACAACTCACACAGAGATTGCAACAACTCACACAGAGAGTGCAACAACTCACACAGAGAGTGCAACAACTCACACAGAGAGTGCAACAACTCACACAGAGAGTGCAACAACTCACACAGAGAGTGCAACAACTCACACAGAGTGAAACAACTCACACAGAGTTCAACAACTCACACAGTGCAACAACTCACACAGAGAGTGCAACAACTCACACAGAGAGTGCAACAACTCACACAGAGAGTGCAACAACTCACACACAGTGCAACAACTCACACAGAGAGTGCAACAACTCACACAGAGAGTGCAACAACTCACACAGAGAGTGCAACAACTCACACAGAGAGTGCAACAACTCACACAGAGAGTGCAACAACTCACACAGAGAGTGCAACAACTCACACAGAGTGCAACAACTCACACAGAGAGTGCAACAACTCACACAGAGAGTGCAACAACTCACACAGAGAGTGCAACAACTCACACAGTGCAACAACTCACACAGAGTGCAACAACTCACACAGTGCAACAACTCACACAGAGTGCAACAACTCACACAGAGATTGCAACAACTCACACAGTGCAACAACTCACACAGAGTGCAACAACTCACACAGTGCAACAACTCACACACAGAGTGCAACAACTCACACAGAGAGTGCAACAACTCACACAGAGTGCAACAACTCACACAGTGCAACAACTCACACAGAGAGTGCAACAACTCACACAGAGAGTGCAACAACTCACACAGAGTGCAACAACTCACACAGAGTGCAACAACTCACACACAGAGTGCAACAACTCACACAGAGTGCAAGAACACACACAGTGATTGCAATAATACAAAAAATGACTGAAGAATACATGACTGGAGCAAGACACACAATAACTGGAACAAGACACACAATGGCTGGAACAAGACACACAATAACTGGAACAAGACACACAATGGCTGGAGCAAGACACACAATAACTGGAACAAGACACACAATGGCTGGAACAAGACACACAATAACTGGAACAAGACACACAATGGCTGGAACAAGACACACAATAACTGGAACAAGACACACAATGGCTGGAACAAGACACACAATAACTGGAACAAGACACACAATGGCTGGAACAAGACACAATAACTGGAACAAGACACACAAATGGCTGGAACAAGACACACAATAACTGGAACAAGACACACAATGGCGGAACAAAGACACACAATAACTGGAACAAGACACACAATGGCTGGAACAAGACACACAATAACTGGAACAAGACACACAATGGCTGGAACAAGACACACAATAACTGGAACAAGACACACAATGGCTGGAACAAGACACACAATAACTGGAACAAGACACACAATAACTGGAACAAGACACACAATAACTGGAACAAGACACACAATGGCTGGAACAAGACACACAATAACTGGAACAGACACACAATGCTGGAACAAGACACACAATAACTGGAACAAGACACACAATGGCTGGAACAAGACACACAATAACTGGAAACAAGACACACAATGGCTGGAACAAGACACACAATAACTGGAACAAGACACACAATGGCTGGAACAAGACACACAATAACTGGAACAAGACACACAATGGCTGGAACAAGACACACAATGGCTGGAACAATACACACAATGGCTGGAACAAGACACAATAACTGGAACAAGACACACAATGGCTGGAACAAGACACACAATAACTGGAACAAGACACACAATGGCTGGAACAAGACACACAATAACTGGAACAAGACACACAATGGTGGGAACAAGACACACAATAACTGGAACAAGACACACAATAACTGGAACAAGACACACAATAACTGGAACAAGACACACAATGGCTGGAACAAGACACATAGCTGGAACAAGATACACAATGGCTGGAACAAGACACACAATAACTGGAACAAGACACACAATGGCTGGAACAAGACACACAATAACATGGAACAAGACACACAATGGCTGGAACAAGACACACAATAACTGGAACAAGACACACAATGGCTGGAACAAGACACACAATAACTGGAACAAGACACACAATGGCTGGAACAAGACACACAATAACTGGAACAAGACACACAATGGCTGGACAATGACACAATAACTGGAACAAGACACACAATGGCTGGAACAAGACACACAATGACTGGAACAAGACACACAATGGCTGGAACAAGACACCAATAACTGGAACAAGACACACAATGGCTGGAACAAGACCCACAATAACTGGAAACAAGACACACAATGGCTGGAACAAGACACACAATAACTGGAACAAGACACACAATGGCTGGAACAAGACACACAATAACTGGAACAAGACACACAATGGCTGGAACAAGACACACAATAACTGGAACAAGACACACAATGGCTGGAGCAAGACACACATAACTGGACAAGACACACAATGGCTGGAACAAGACACACAATAACTGGAACAAGACACACAATGGCTGGAACAAGACACACAATGGCTGGAACAAGACACACAATGGCTGGAACAAGACACACAATGGCTGGAACAAGACACACAATGACTGGAACAAGACACAATGGCTGGAACAATACACACAATTGCTGGAACAATTGCTGGAACAAATTCTTCTCTGCTATGCACAGGAATTTTGGCTGCTAGGTAGTACTGGTGTGCTAGGTGGTGCTGGTGCTAGGTAATGGTATGTCCTAGGTGATAGTTTTAGGTGATGGTGGTGTGTGCTAGGTGACGCTGGAGTGTAATAAATGTTGAAGAATGCTAGGTAACGCTTGAGTGCTATGCGATGCTAGTGTGCTAGGTTATGCTGAGTGCTAGGTTATGCTGAGTGCTAGGTTATGCTGGGGGTGCTAAGTGATGCTAGAATCTATCTGGGTTTCTGTTTTCTACCTCATTAACAACAAATTACGATAGGTAAGTAATGACAATAACGATACCTGTGACCCTGAAGACTTCTCACCAGCTACTGAGAGTCTGCAGTCGACTTGACTCCCACTGGGACACAAAGTGATCGTGTACAAGACCTGTATTAAACACGAACCTCCACGATCAAGTACACTACGAATTTATTGCAAATATTCGTTACTATTGTTATTATTGCTATTGTTTATCTTATTATTAATATCAATGTTATTGTGAGAGCACTAAATGCTTAGGGTTTATTTCTGCGTCTAGGGAATGGAACGATTTGGGAAAGGGAATCAGGCTTGATCAGAGGAAGAGTAGAGGCAGCTCTACTGCCATGGATCAAAATCCTACACATGCATGATTGTACTCCCTGTGAAAGGAGACATAACTTAGTAAAGTTAAAGGAAGAACGAATCAGTGTTTTCACGACAGGATTTATTTAAAAGCCTAGATTATATTTATCCGTTTGTTTCTGGTTTACCTCCCCACACACATAGGAGCTGTGAATCAACCCCTGTAACCACAATTAGGTGAATACACATCATATAGAAACACAGACACCACACACACACACAGGAGCTGAGTATCGACCCCTGCAACCACAATTAGGCGAGTATAAACACATACACGCGCATGCGACCACCCACACCATTCATAACAAGCCAAGTGTCTGTCGACAAGTGCCTTTGACAACTGGTAACCATCACAGCAGCAGCTGAGGCTCAACCCCTACAACCACACATAGGCGACGACATCTAGGTGAGCAAACACAATCCCTGTGGCTGTGGGCTGAGGGACTGACAACCTCAAATCTACGACTTCAAGGGTGATGGACTGATTACATCGTCTTCAAATTTCTACTGCTCCTGCCTACTTTCTGTACTCGACTGAAGAAGCCTACTGTGTAGGCGAAACGTTTCGAAATAAAGAGACTCTTAAGAAAAGTGGCAGCTCATAGTATAGAAGGTAAAGTTCTAGCATGGATAGCTTCATGGCTTCCCATGCAGCACACCCCCCCACTCTTCAAAGATCTAAACTTACTCCCAGTTCAGTACATCCACACTTACTACTGTGCAATCTATATCTACAGGGCCTTAAACTCTAATATCAACCTTGACCTAAAACGCTTTCTTGATAGTTGTGACAGAACCCACAGGCATAACACCAGAAACAAACATCTCTACGACATTCCCCGTGTCCGACTAAACCTTTACAAAAATTCAATGTATGTCAAAGGCCCTAAAATCTGGAATACCCTACCTGAGAACTCTAGAACTGCAGACACATTCATCAACATCTTATCTCCCTGATACACCCCGTCAACTAACTTCACGAATACCACCTGGTGGTTCACACTTACACTCGCTCACTCATTTGACCATAAACAGAAATATTAATCTCAGTCTTAAAATAATGAATCATGTGATACTCCAATACTGAAACTATATACTGTGCCAAAACAAAAGCATTCACATTGCTAAACTCACAAAATAGTATTTAGTCACTTAGCCATAATACCAACTTACCTCATAATTTGTAATATTTTACATTTAAGAATAAAACTAAGTATGCCCGAAATGCCTAGCCATGCTAAGCGTTCTAGTGGTACACTCTGTAATCTCAATTTTACTACATGTAAACCAAACAATAACCAAATTTCTGTAAACTCAGCATTGTAATCCTTATAGAGAATAAACTTTGAATTGAATTTGAATTTGAATAGAAGGCAGAGAGTTACCATTAATGGGGTGAAATCTGAATGGGGATTAGTCACTAGTGGCGTTCCACAAGGATCAGTTTTAGGCCCTCTCTTGTTCATAATTTACATTAATGACCTTGATGAAGGGATTACGAGTGACATGAGTAAATTTGCTGATGATACAAAGATAGGCCGTATAATTCACTCTGAGGAGGACAGCAATGAACTCTGTGAGGATTTGGAAAAATTAATGTCTTGGTCTGAAAAATGGCAGATGAAGTTTAATGTGGATAAGTGTAAGGTACTGGTCCTTGGTAATGAAAATAACCCTCAAAGCTATAATCTAGGTGAAGTAGAGCTTGATCATTCAGAATGTGAAAAGAACTTGGGAGTCATGGTAAGCAAAAATCTAAAGCCAAGACAGCAGTGCCTTAGTGTGTGCAACAAGGCTAACAGATTACTTGGATTTATCTCAAGAAGTATAAGTAACAGAAGCCCAAAAGTTATCTTAAATCTCTATACATCACTAGTGAGGCCTCATTTAGATTATGCTGCTCAGTTTTGGTCCCCTTACTACAGGGTGGATATAGACTCATTAGAGAACATACAGAGAAGAATGACTAAAATGATTTACTGTGTAAGGAATCTCCCGTATGAAGAGGCAACGATGTTGGCAGACGTAGGAGTGAGGACCTGATTAGTAGGTATAGGTTAGCAATAGAGATAATTAGGAGAAAAGGTGGGAACCCTGTCTTATGTGGTATTTTGCCAAGGAGAGGAGTTGGCAACGAATGGTTGTCCAGGGTAATTGGTGTCAATTGCTGGATGGATAAATACTGTAAGGAAAATGCAGTAACATTCTTTGACAACTGGGACCTCTTCTATGGTAGAAATGACATGTATGCCAGGGATGGGGTTCACTTATATAGGTCTGGGGTGGTAGCACTGGCAACTGCAGTGGAGGGAGCTGTTAGGGCTTTAAACTAGGAATAGATAGTAGTATGGGTTTTGCAGAGAATACAGTGTAGTAATACTATGATTTCTAGGGGAACTAGTAATAGGCAGAATGAGGTGGATATTGGAAAGCAAATGGCACTAGGCGACAAGGTCAGTAATAGGTTTAGTGAAAAAAAAAAACAGATATGAGCAGGAAGGGTAAAGAGAAAGGAGGGTCTTTAAAATTATATTATGCTAATAGCCGTATAGCTAGGAATAAGATGGATGAGTTGAGATTAGTTGCTAGTGCAGGTAACATTGATTAATTTGCAATCACTGAGACATGGTTTAATTCCAAAAGTCGGGACATGCTTTCGGAATGTCACATTCAGGGTTTTAAATTGTTCCAAGTAGATAGAAATATCGGTAAGGGAGGTGGGGTGGCACTTTATGTCCGAGATCGCTAGGACTGTTGCATAAAAACGGGTATTAAGCCTGAGTTAACATATTCAGTCTGTTTGGATAGAATTTTCAGAGGGCATAAAAAATTGATTCTAGGAGTGATATACCGGCCAGCAGTAACAGCCTAGTTGATCAGGCCCTGATCCATCGGGAGGCCTGGTCATGGACCGGGCCGCGGGGGCGTTGATCCCCGGAATAACCTCCAGGTAACCTCCAGGTACCGTCCCCCAAACTTAGATAGGGACAAAGGGAAATTACTGTGGGAGGAAATTGTTAAGGCCACAAGGCAAGATAATGTAGTAATTCTAGGAGACTTTAACTTTTGTCACGTTGTTTGGAATTTCTTGACTGGGAATTTAGAATCAAGTGACTTCTTAGAAGTAGTTCAGGAATGTTTTTTGAAGCAATTTGTGACAGAACCTACAAGGGTAAATAACCTTCTTGATTTGGTTCTAGCGAACAAGAAAACCCTTGTTAATAATTTAGAAATTAATTAGGAACTCGGCACAAGCGATCACAAATCAGTTACCTATAGCATAGAATGGAAGTATGATAGTAGGGACAAATCAGTAATAGTTCCAGATTTTCACTTAGCAGATTACGATGGGCTTAGAGAACACTTATCATCTGTTGACTGGGGTAACGAAGAGAGCTATCAATATGACAGTTTTCTGAACACCATACAGGCTGCTCAAAGAACGTTTATCCCAAATAAAGAAATTAGATCAAATAGAAATGACCCAAAATGGATGAATAATAGGCTGAAATATCTACTAGGGCATACAAAAAGAATTTATTGGCGTCATCTTATGAATCAGTATATTGACATTAAGAGAGACGTTAAAAAGGGGACAAGAAAAGCTAAAAGGGACTATGAAATTAAAGTTGTAAGGGATTCGGAAACTAACCCAAAAATTTTTTTCCAGGTCTATAGAACAAAAGTTAAAGATAAGATAGGTACCCTTAAAAATAACTATCAGCACCTTACTGACAAAGAATGAAATGTGCTAAATTTTAAATAATTATTTGCTCTCGGTTTTTACACAGGAAGACACTAACAATATCACAGAAATTAATTTTTATAGTGGGTCTGAAGAAGATAAATTATGTAACATCACAGTCACTAGTGAAATGGTTATGAAACAAATAGACTGACTGAAGCAAAATAAGTCACCGGGTCCTGATGAGGTTTTTTCAAGGGTTCTTAAGGAATGCAAAATGGAACTCTGTGAACCATTAACTAATATTTTTAATTTATCTCTTCAAACAGGTGTAGTGTCTGATATGTGGAAGATGGCTAATGTAATTCCTATTTTTAAAACAGGGGACAAGTCGTTACCGTCAAATTACCGCCCAATAAGCCTGACCTCAATTGTAGGCAAATTACTAGCGTCAATTATAGCTGAGATTATAAGAAGCCATCTCGATAAGCATAGCTTGATTAATGATACTCAGCATGGATTCACAAGAGGCCGGTCTTGTCTAACTAATTTATTAACTTTCTTTTTAGGTTGTTGATCATGATAAAGATTTTGATATTATTTGATTAGATTTTAGTAAGGTTTTTGATAGAATTTCACACCAAAGACTTTTAAAGAAAGTGGCAGCTCATGGCATTGGGGGAAAAGTGCTCTCGTGGATCGAGTCATGGCTCACACACAGGAAGCAGAGAGTGTCCATGAATGAGGTTAAATCCGAGTGGGGATCTGTAACAAGTGGCGTTCCACAGGGATCAGTCATGGGCCCGTTGATATTTATAATATATATCAATAAACTTGATGAAGGAATTACTAGTGAAATGAGCAAATTCGCCGATGGCACAAAGATAGGTAGGATAATTGATTCAAACGTAGATATCAGGGAAGTTCAGAAGAATTTAGACAAACTCAATACCTGGTCAGGAAAGTGGCAGATGCAGTTCAGTGTAGATAAATGCAAGGTTCTGAAGGTCGGGGGTGTCCATAACCCTAGCACTTATAAGTTAAATAATGTAGAACTTAGCTAT